AAAAAAAAAAGGGGGCCTAAAAATTATTGTTATTTTTTTACTTTTTTTTTTTTTTTTTATTTTAATAACAACCGAGGTTTTTTACTCGCTAGCTCGAACAATCTTTGCCTGAATTCTTTCTGAAATCAAATACTGCATTATTCATACCCCTAGCTAGGGAATAATGAATAATTATTGTTATTTTTTTGCAGTCTTTAGATTGGTTTTAATCGATAATTTCAAGGTAAATTAAAATTGATTGATTTTAGGGTTGAAAAATTAAGATGGAGAATTTTTAAGTTGATATTATGAAAGAGAACAATGAAAATTACCCAGAGATGGAAAAAAAAATTTAGTTTATAAAGTTGCCACCAGGTGGCCAAGTGGCGCTGTTCTCTCTCGCTTACAGAAATAAATTTCCAGGGTATATATTTGAAAAATTCAAATTTTAATTTGAAAAAATGATTACAAGGAAATAATGAATAATTATTGTTATTTTTTTATTCTTTAGATTTGTTTTAATTGATAATTTTAAGGTAAACTTTTAATTGATTGATTTAAGGGTTGAAAAATTGAGATGGAGGATTTTTAAGTTGATATTATGATAGAAAATAATGAAAAATACCCAAAAATGGATTTAAAAATTTTTAGTTCATAAATTTGCCACTAGGTGGCCAAGTGGCGCTGTTATCTCTCGCTTGCAGAAATAAATTTCTAAGGTATTTAATAGGAAACTTAAATTTGGCCTTTATAAAAGGATTAACTATAGAAATTACAATTCTAATTTTAATTTATTAGTTTTTAAAGTCACCGCTAGGTGGCGAAACGGCGCTTTTTTTCTCGCTTGCAGAATTAAATTTCCAGAGTATATAATACAATGTAAAAAAAGTAACTTTAAGGCCTTAGGATAAAGTTCTATTGCAGAACAAGATTGTTAATAAATAATTAAGGTTGTTCGGAAGTTTATAAATCCAGTGATAACCAAATACGATCTAATTCGTGTAACTAATGAGTAATATTATCTCGAGTACTATATATACACGTACCTTAGACCGGCTTAACACTAAATCTCTATAAACCGCTTATACATATCGTCTATAATATATTGTGCGTTCCCATGTATTTCAACTCAATATAATCGTGTTAGTTCACCCTCTCAATCCCATTTTTTTGTCCACTATTATAATAATAATTATTATTATTATTAAATCGTTAACAGCAATTAAAATACTGAATTCAAATAAACGAATAAAACTTTTCAATTTCCATGATCAAATAATCATAATTATAATTGAATATTAAATTATCCAAATAATATATTTAAAATTCAAGTAAACGAAGGTATAAATACTAATCAGAGTTTTCTAATTAAAATGAATAATTAAATCTTATAATTAATCGCTTGGGAAGGTTGAATATTGATAACTTTTATTCCTTCTTTTTCATTAATACTAAATCACTATTTCGACAGTTTTATAGACGAAAAAACACGAACATTTGAAGAATCAATAAAACTTACCAACTTTTTCGGGTGAAACTAATCCGCCTTAATTTTAGGCATCTTTGAATATTTTTCTGAAATTAGGGTTGCACGTTATTGTCAAGACATCGAGGAATGTGCTAATCACAATATTTATGTGTTTTGCCCCAAATAACACCAATTTAAACACCTTCAAAGTCAACCTTGCAACCGTCTTGAGAAATTTCGCTGTAACAAGGATATCTAATCGAATTACGTCACTAAGACAACTGAGATGCTTCTAAAATCCATTCTGTAGCTGACAGCTTCAATTCTGGAAGCTTCTGTTGTTGATGGTGATCTTCAAACACAATGGCCTAATCCTTGAACCTTCGTTCTAATATCAAAAATATAAACAGCCATCTTGATGATAATAACCTCGAATATTTATCTTGTACAGCAACATAGCAACATTTGTTGGTTAACTTGAGTGTCCATGTTTGATGCTAGAAAAAAAAAAGCCGTGTTTTTGCGACGAGCTAACCGTATATATACAGCAAGTACTCATCAGCTAATGGAAACACTTGTACGTGCCAAATTAATATTAATCAAAGTATTTTCTGGGTGTAGACATTTCCAAGTGCCCGGTCTCTTTTATCAAGACATTTATCATTCAGTTAATCTTATATTTTTAATGGATTAATTGAAAAATGAGCTTTGCTAAAACAGGATCTTGTTTTTGTGCTTAACAGTGGAGATGTCTAATTACATTTTATCTTTTAGCAGTGCCAAATTATAGAGTAATAACAAATGTGTTAATAAAAGACATTATCGTAATTGTAATCATCAAAAAATTAATATAATTGATGGTAAAAATACTTAGTAGTTCTTAAAATAGAAAAAAAAAAAAAATTAATTCCAAAAGTCACCGATAGGTGGCGAAGTGGCGCTTTTTATCTCGCTTGCGGAAATAAATTTCCAGGATATATAAGGAAAACAATATTTTTACCAAGAAATACAGAAAAAACTTTAGTTCTAAAAGTCACCGCTAGGTGGCTAAGTGGCGCTGTTCCCTCTCGCTTGCAGAAATAAATTTCTAAGGTATTTATAAGGAAACTTAAATTTTATCTTTATAATACGAATACTGATCTTTTGGAGCGAATTACGAAGAAATGGTTAGAGATATCTTTTCGACAAAGAATTTAATTTCCTACAAAATAATTCTTATTATTATTTTGTATCGTCAATATTTAGCCTTGAAATTACAGTTCTAATTCTAAACCACATTTCTTTTATTTTTTTCAACCAAATTCACGCAATTAGCTAATCATACAACAAATCTCATCATCCATAAACCGCAGGATTATCAATCATGGATATTAAACGGCGAGAATTGATATCAGGTTCAGATTTCACTTCATCCATATTAAATTCCGGAAATAGAAGAATATGCAAATTATTCTGTACTAACGCCCATCTATAATAATTTTTCGAGCTTATCTTTCTTTAACTTTCAAGCCTTCAATTATCCCCAGTTAAAATAATATCTTCTAGATAAAAATCAAAATATTTTTTTATGGATAAAATAATTGTTTACAAATTGCAGTGTAATCCTATTACATTCCGGATTTAATTGACGAGGAAGTAGTAGTGGGGGGGGGGGATAGAATAAGAAATGTGAAAAAACGTGTGATGGAAGTCGACAGAAATATAAAGTCAGAGGGAATTTTGCCGGAATGGGGCCAGGAGCTCAGCAGGAAACTAGACTATAGTTGGGGACAGGATAAGGAAGCAAGTGACGACGAAAGCGGTAACTATATTCCGTTCCTTAGATTCCGCAATTTATTTACGAGGGTAGTTTTCACCGGCTTTAAAGGTCAATTTAAATCATTGCTAAACCGAGAAACTTTATTTTTCAAATTTATGGTAATTGGCCGGGTTTTTTATTTCTTTTCCTACCAACCCACAGGATGTTATTATCGATTCGACAATTACCGGTGGTCATCCATTTATCGCTATTTTTATATCCAAGACTTCGAGGAAAAGAAAAACTAGGTGACGTCAGAGCTTGTGGGGTTGACAGGATATCTTAAAGCAGTTCAAACGTCAATTGAAAGATTGCTTCCGCCTTTTGTAGACGCATATCGTGGAAAAAGTCTTAGATTATTAGTTTTTGCTTTTTTTATTTATATATACTCTGGAAAATTGTTTCTGCAAGCGAGAAAAAAATGCGACATTTCGCCACCTAGCGGTGACTTTTAGAACTAAATTAAAAAAAATATTAATCTTCTACTTAGGCACCCAAGTCGTTATTCCTTACAAAAATTGACATCCTGTTTTTTTTTAGTTCCGAAAGTCACCGCTAGGTGCTGCAGTGGCGCTGCCGTTCTCGCTTGTAGAGACTGAGTTCCTTGATTTCAATATTAATCTAATCTCACTAAAATTCACCTATTATATATCCTAGAAATTTGTTTCTGCAAGCGAGAGCCAACAGCGCCACTTCGCCACCTAACGGTAACTGAAGGAACTAAAATTTTAAAAAATGTTTTACACACTACTAAAGCTTGTAATCAATAATTTATTTGATAAAATTGAATATTAATACATCAAATATAAATATTATTACAAAGAAATTGTTAAATATTTTCTATATTTAATTTTCGGTTAAATTTGCCTTGCCATAATATCGTTCCACACTCCACTGAAATAAAAAAAAAACAATTAAGGAATCATTTTATCTGTCAGATTTAACTTAAAAATATTTTAAACTTACTCAGTATGATAAATTTTGCACCTAATATCAGCAGGTAGATGTTTGGTATGCAAATCAATGAAACACCAAAGTCCTTCGACTTCATACCCCTTGTCATAAGTAAGAGGTTTAATAGCTTCAATGGTTACTGTAAAATGATACACTCTCTCAGTTCCCAAAATATCTAGAGTATTATCTCTTATCATCAGTGATCCAAAGTCTTCCAGTTTCCAGTGAATACCGAATGACTCAATTTTCGTCAAGTACTTTTGCAATTCCGCCTTAGCTATCCATTTGAAGTCATCTGCGGTTGAAGAAAGCCGTATTCTCCGCGAAATTGAAATCGCGACGGTTAAGGTCAAAAAAATTAGTAACTTAGCGGCGATCATCTTCACTAAAAGTTTCAATTAAAACTGTAAAATTTCGATTCAAACTGTAAGATATTGATAGCTTAATAAAGTGATTAATTAGTAGTGCGTCATTCGTTTACTTACGCCGTTAACATTTACGTCAGTAAGTATAGTTACCGTTAATGGGACTATTTTTTGTCTCTTATCGTAAATATAAAATTAAAATCAATTTTTAATTGATAAAGTTAAATAAAATTCCGCGCTAATATAAAATATTTAAACAAAGTTCCGAAAGTCACCGCTAAGTGCCGCAGTGGCGCTGCTGTTCTCGCTTGTAGAAACTTAGTACCTTTATTTTAATATTAAATCAAGATTATTAAAAGTTTCCTATTATATACCCTGGAAATTTTTTTCTGCAAGCGAGAGATAACAGCGCCACTTGGCCACCTAGCGGTAACTTTAGGAACTACATTTTTTTTCGTTTTTTAATATACTATTGTTACGTTCCCAAAATTTGGGTTAGTTTATTTAAAGTTTACCGGGCGGGTGTCTTTAGAATATCTATCGATTCCAGGCGCACCCTGCTCTTTGATACTCTATTATAAATTTTTAAAATAATTATTAGGGAATTAACCACTAAAATAAAACACTCAGTCTGTGTTGAAATTAAATATATTGAAAAGCTTCAGTAATTCGGGCACCGGACTTACGTCCGGAGCCAAAGATGGTTGTCGCCTGGTTGCCCAGGGTAGACTGACTTGGATTTTCATCCAGTACAATAAATTTTAATAATTAAATGTCGCAACGCCGCATCTCAGGTTACCCTAGTGAACACCATCGAGGCCCGAATCTCATGCAGCGTCATGAGTTTTGAATTCGAGTCGCGATGGCGTTCGCAGAATTTCTTTATCTTCTCGTCACTCCGTTAAATAATTCTTTGAACGGAATGATCGAGGTTTTATTTAATAAAAATAATTTCTAAGATCCTAAAATAAATTTCGAAATTTGCTAGAACGTTACACCACTAAAGCTTATAATCAATAATTCATCAAATAAAATTGAGTATTAATATATTTAATACAAAATATTATTACAAAGAAATTTGGAAATATTTTCTATATTTAGTTTTCGGTTGAATTCTCCATGCCAGAATATCGTTCCACTCTCCACTAAAATAAAAAATAATTAAGGAATTATTTTATTCGTCAGATCTAATTAAAATATTTTCCAAACTTACTCAGTATGATAAACTTTGCACGAAATATTAAGAGGCAGATGTTCGGTCTTCAGATCAATAAGACACTCAATTCGTTCGACTTGATATCCATAGGAATAAGTAACAGTTTTAATAGCTTTAGCGGTTACTTTAAAGTGATACTGCCTCTCAGTGCCAACAATATCTAGAGTATTATCACTTATCCCGAGTGTTCCAAAGTCTTCGAGTTTCCAGTAAATACGGAAGAATTCAATTGTCTTGAAGTACTGTCGCAATCCCATTTCAGCTGCCCATTTGAAGTCATCTGCGTTTGACGGAAGGTTAACTTTTCGCGACATTGAAATCGCGACGTTTAAGGTCAACAAAATTAGCAACTTAGCGGCGATCATCTTCACGAAAAGTTTCCATTCACATACTGTAAGACTTCGATAGCTTAATGAGGTGACCTGTTAGTAGTGCGTCATGCGTTTAATCACGTAGTTAACATTGACGTCTGTAAGTTTAATTACAGTTAATGGGACTATTTTGATTCCTTATCGTAAATATAAAATTAAAATTAATTTTATAAAATGACAAGTTAAATAAAATTCAGCGCTAATATAAAATATTTAAACAAACCCGCAGATTTTTCTTCGCGAATTCTCGAGCCAAGATAATTCGAAGCCCGTTATTTCCTTATCAAGTTCAACCCGCATTTGCTAAACTTTTCTAGGCTATCATTCCAATTCGAAGATTGAAAATTTTATAACAATATATCGTTAAAGAAACAATGGGATTGGTTGTTTACTTAAAAAAATTCTAACAGAAAGTTTGCTACGAAAAATATGTTAGGGATTTTTTTGAAAGACATACCTAGTAACGCCATCTGTTGTTTGCCGAATACAAATAAAATTAGCGGCCGAATAAAGTTACGCTTTAGGGATATCATCGATTTTCGATCCACAAAATTTAATTAGAAAAAGTGGTCGAATAAATCGATGCAATTCGGTGGTTTATCAATAGCAGAATACATAAAAAGGATATTTATAAAATAATACAACTACCTTAAAACTAAAAAAAAATTCTCTATTAATCATCTATCTAATAACAAAATTCCAATATAAACACGGACGAGAATTACATACTCTGGAAATTAGTTTCTGCAAGCGAGAAGAAAAAGCGCCACCTAGCCACCTAGCGGTGACTTTTAGAACTAAATTTTTTTTTTGCTATTTTAGATCATTCTAAGGCTTGTGATCAATAATTAGACGAAATAATAATCCTTGTTCAATTAATAAACCACTAGCCATATAAAAAAAACAATTTAATGAGCAAAATTTGATGCCAAAAGCCATGACTGCTTAACAGGAAATAAACTCGATTAATGTAAAGAGAGACATTGAATTCTGGACGACACTTAACTCTATAAGAATATGATTTATTAAAAAGTGGTGGTCGTTACCGAGGACGCTTCCTGAAACGTTAGGAGCTTTCTTATATTCTTTCTTCATCCCCGGTCTTTATTATCTTATCCATCCACTACTTACACACATTTTTCCTCTTTCCCTCAAAATCGATCCTAAAAGATTTACGATGTTTTTCTATTGCGCCGACTTGGCAGAACTTTCTTTCAAACGGCACCGTCGCCGGGCATTATCTTTAAATTTATTATTTTATACGTTGGTACCAATGCTCACTATTATTATTTCATTTTTTAGTGTTCCCCTAAAAATTGCTCGCTTATTGTCGTGATGCCTTTCTTTTTAAACGTAACCCAGGATTACATAACGCAGCACGACATAATAATCGGATTTTGGTTTTGCTATCATATCTTAATAACCCAGTCACGTTCCATTTGTTCTGCAGTATCTTGAAAAAGATACTAGATGAAAAATTTATTGAATTTATCACCTTGAGGGTTAACATTAATCTTGATCTACAAATCAATTTATGTAATTTTTGTTCAACGATGTGACATACTTACCCCAGATTACCTAACCACAATATATTTTCATTTGCCAAATGGGTTACAAGCTCTAAACAATCAATTTCACCCAAAATATCCATTTCTACGCTATAATTGTCTCCTGGAGGCATCAAACTAATCCAAAAGAATAATTGCCATCCTGCTATTGGTCCAAAAAAAAATGGTCCCATGACCTCGTACGATCAATGGAGTAATCATTAATGACAATATTTTCCGCCCGACAGATGTCGCATTGCAATATTTATCCATTTAAAAATTGTGAAAAAATGTTTTTTTTTTTTATTTTTCCGAGTTTGCAGCTTGTAGTTATAATTCTACGATTATCTCGACGTATCATTAACACTTGAGCGACCCTTTGTATATCTCTTGTGAGCACAATACTCTCCTGGGCTTAGGATGTCCCATTGGAGAAACTCCGGATGAAAAGGATACGGAGAAAATCTGTCTCTTTAAAATAGTATAACGTTGGTACGTTGTTTATGTACATATATATATATATATATAGTGTTAACAAACGGCTCGTCACGTACGTAGGACGAAAAATACAGTGTGTTCCTCAAAGAGACACTCTACTTTGTCGATCAAAGTAGAGTTTTATGGGTGTATATATAATTCACCTAGACACTTTGTTTTTCCACTTGCTTTTTATAAAATAGAATTTTTTAATTCTTAACAAAATAGAAGTGGTATTAAATAAAATTATTTTTAATTATTTTCAAACAGGTTATGGGCCCAGATTTTTTGGCGGGAATTTTAAAATTAAAATTATGGGTTAAGTATTGGAAAAGGTTTTTATGGATTTTTACCTTGATAAATTAAAGGTCAATTTAAATAATTAATGTAAAAAAAAGGAATATCAAAGGTGAATGTTTAAATTAAAAAAATAAAAAAAGGTTAGCGATAATATCAAAACAGATTCTGAGGAACGTAAAAAGAAAAATGAGTGAGATAAAAGGGGTGGAAACTGTAAAAGTAAACTTTTACACGGCAGTATATTCAAAAAGGCGCATAAAAGTATATCCATAAATTACAGAGGGTACTTTTTTGGTCTTTCGTTATGTTATGTGCATAATAATAATAATGAGGATAGTAATCCTATGCTCTCAGTATTTTCCTATTAATATTTTATTTTCTTTCATTTTAATATGAAAAGATAAATGCTCGGTAGTCAGAGCTCAGAAACGCTATCAAATTCGTAACTCTGCAAATATTTATAAAATGACGGAATGTTTTCTATTTTCTCTACTGAGCTTATTAAACAGAATTATATTTACAAAAATTGAGTAGTGTATTTCTTTGAAAAAGAGGCAAGAGTGGGCTGGGGAGGGGTGTTACGTTCAAGTGGGTTGAAAGTGTTAATAAAATAGGAACCCTTGAAAGATGATATTGCATTTAGGACATAAATAAAGAAATGGCTGCCAAGGAGCCAAGAGATAGTAGATAGTATTATCTGGACGGAATAAAATTTAATTTGCATTCATGAGTCTCCGTTGCGTCTGGAACCCTCACAACATTCCGCGGTCGAATCACTTATCGCGATCGTTATCCATTGAGATCTACGGAAAAATATATGCTTGAGCTTTATGTCTTTGATGAGAATCACCAAATTGTCGGGTTTCATTAATGATAATTTTATTCTGCTAGATTTAAATTAGAATTACTATCTTGTCACTAAAAGATATCGAAAATGTGATAAAGGAGTTTTTATCTAGTGAATTTTATTTCCTAAAAAAAAAGTATCTTATAATTTTTCCGTATCTTCAATATTTAACCCAAAATGTCAATTTTAAAATACCTATAAAAAGTTTGGGCCACTATAACCTGTTAGTCGTCTTATTTTATCTCCTGACTCTAAAA